GGGGAGAGCTGTGCAGGCGGCATCAGGGACAGGCTCTGCCCCGCCGGCTGGATCTGCTCATCGCCCTGGCAGCACGTGTCACCCTTTCTGCTTCCAACTGGCTGTATCCGCACCACTCTCCTGTCACCTGCGCTGGCCCTGGGCAGTAAGCTCCTGAGGGCACGCTGGCCAGTGTCTGCACAACACGGAGCACCCCGGGGGCCTGATCCCCACTGGGCCTCCAAGGGTCAGACAGAGAGCCGTACCAGCAGAGCTAAAGGCCGGCAACGGAAGGTTATCCACCCATCGCTCCCGCTGTAACATCCGCTCATGCAATATTGATTTCTTGGGGATAGGAAGAAAGAGCTTTGCAGTAGCTTAATGTGAATATATCACTGATCAAAGATGGTGCATTGTAAGCAAGTATTTGGGTGAAAGCACATTGTCAGAGATCCTCCATAGCATTACATTTAAATAATTGCACCTCACGCTGGGAAGCATTAGAGATGAAAGCTCTGATTAGAGCAAGTCGTTGGACTTTGCTGCCGTTCATTCTTAATTAAACTGTTAAATATTATGCAGTTTCCACTTAGAAACTGTATTACTAGCACAGTATTTCAATTTGTGTGGGCTCCATTTCATTTGCCACAAACACAAACATTATAGGTCTGCAACAGAGTCATCTTCCCCATGAATGAAACTCCTTAGGTAATTAGGCCAAAAAGCATGTCAAGTGACTGTGTCTGTGAATCACTCCTCATCATTAAAAACACCCACTGTTATAAAAACTGGACAGAGTAGACTGGAATTCATTGTTAGGCTTCTACAGCTTGGCAACTGGTAGAGGAATGTCCAGATTTGGATCTCAGCGAATTCAGCACATACCCTATGTCTTACAAAGATGGAGAAGGCCAATCCTATAAATATTCCGTACTCAGAGACTAATGACCTTCATGGCAATACCCATCACTTTGAGGTTAGCGCAAACAAGTCCTCAAAGGATGAATGTTCTGCTTCTGCAGCCGCATCTCAGCAGCTGAGACCAGAACGGCCAAGTTCTTGGTCTCCCAGACCACATCCCCAGTTTTGGCTCTCAAGGGACCCAGGATGGAGCAATGTACTTCCACTACCGCCCACTGTTTTCTCTAGCTTCAGAGCTGAACTACACCCAGTACCAGTTCTGTGATTGGAAAGCCTAGTCCATGGCTCAGGCAACTCCACGCTACACCCTGCCCTCCCTGTCCCTGCAGGTGCTCAGGTTTTGGCAGCAGATGAATATTCCGTATTTCCCTGGTCTGTGGCCAGGCCACCTTTTATGCTCTTACCCAGATAAGTCATTCTCTATCACCATTTTCTGCAGCCCCGCAGAGATGCTGTTGCCGGCGTTAGGCGTGGACGCAGTGTGATCGGCCGTGACCGAGACCTGCACGCAGGCCGGGTTACTGAGTGCCGAGTTGACGTCCCTCAGGATCCGAGGCAGAGGCCCAAGTTTTGTTGCAGTGGCCTAGGCAGAAAAGAGAGCAGAATTACTACCAACATCTTGTATTTTTGCTAGAGAACTGTGGGCTTTGCCAGTTGCTGGATAATCTCTTCAGTGAATCACATTAACAACATTCATTTTCTCCATCATTTACCCCCACCGCTGAGGCTATGGGATGTCCCAGCAACCATTTGCTGCTGTGGGGCAGAGGAAGCAAGTGTGATTAACAAAGTTCTGACACAGACGAAGACAGTTATAGCCAGGCCTGGTCCAGGTCTCTTGACAAAAATCCTTTTAGTTAAAAAGAAACCTTTTGAATCTGCTGGGACAGACAAAATCCTGGCGTTCAGCAGCTCTGCCTTCTCATCCCATGTACTCCTCCATCCTCACCCCTTGATGATAAACACCAGAGGAGGGAGAGAGCTACACTCGCCTGCCTCAAAGAAGGACGTAAAGAATGAGCTACTTCTGCAGCACGTGCGAAGGCCGGGGAAGTGCTCAGGCTTAGTATCAGCTGTGCTGTGCGCACACACAGCTAACGGAGTGGTACCTGCTGGACACGGGTGTGTGGTGTGGTACACGTGCCCAGCACTGGCCAGCTGCGCTCCCCCACAGCCTGCCCCTGCCATTCCCCCCCCGTACCTGCTCCAGCTGAGAAATGACTTCCCAGAGCAGCGAGTGCAAAGTTGACAGTTCCCGGCCCAGGTCAATGTAGCCTTCAAAGCCAGCTGTGTTCGAGATGGTTTCAGGATTGGAAATCTCCAGTAGAAATCTCTGCATGTTAGTCCATTCATGTTCCAGGAACTGATTCATAAAGGACATGTATTCCTCTTTGCTGCCAAACCTATCAAGACAGCAATACGAATTTCAGCTACGTCCTGTAAACAGCAGTGCAGTCAACAGAACGGGTAGGTACATATGCAGGTTAAGAACGCCAGAGCCTTCCTCCGGCACCTGAAGCCTTCAAAGCCTTTGGGATCCCCGGGTTGCTAGCAGGCACCTGATACACCTCACTGATCGTGAAACCAAAATTAACTCCAGCCTAATCCAGCTAAGTCCTCGTCAGCATAGGATCTCCACAGCAGAAATGAAGGTGAAAGCTAGAGAAACAAAGCCGCTCTTGGTAATGGAGCGATCTAACTGCTGGGTCAGGGCACAGCCTCCAGAAATAGAACCTGTCACTGGAAATAAAGAAATCGTAATACCAAGCACCATCAACTGACTGAAGCCCAGCGAATGCCGGTGGTAGGAATCCTGCACTCTCCCCACTCTTCCACGGGCACTGAGGGTAACCCCAGCAATGCCGGCGGCTGCTGCTCCGGCACAACCGCCCTGGGCATCACCCTGGAGAGCCACAGCCACAGCTGGGCCAGCCCGTTTGTCCCCTCGGGCTTCCTGCAACCTCCTTCTGCCCTCCAAGCACTCCACCCAGACTTTGCTCTCAGTTAGATGTCTTATTTAGAGCACAACAGGGAGGGCCTCGTGGTTCAACCGTACCAGCGGCGGTTGGTGCTCTGCCAACGCCAGCGACTCTGCGAGGAGGGGCTCGGCTGTGTGCCATCGACAGCACAGCTCGGCTCGATGGCTTTGGCTGGACTAATGTCAGCTTAGTTAAAGAGTCTTTCCTGCAAAGTGCTGAAAATCTGAAAACCCTTTAGTTAGGGATTGGTCAGGAATATAGAGAATTTCTGTCATCTAGTGTAACACACTCGCATGTCTTCCGTCTGCGTCTGCGTGCACGTACGCGCATTCCTGACTGCGAGCCTGTGTACTAAGCTAGTTTCCAAATCTAAGAAGCTTTGGACAGAAACTGTCCATTCATGTTTCGGAAAGCTCATCATTTTGTTATCAGAGCTCAGGATAAGCAGCTCAGAGCTGCAGCCAGTGGAAAGGTTTTCAGAAATCTCTCGCTTTGTTTCCATCAAACCAATGGGCTTAGTTGGAAATTGATAGCGTCCCCGTTCTCTCTTCACACCTTCCCAGTTCAGACAACTGCATTTTAATAGCAGGGAAGGTCGCAGAGCTCCCAGGAGGGAGAGACCAGCTCCTGAGCCATGCACACCATTGCTGTCGGGGTTCTGGCCGTGCCGGTGCCTGAGGGGACGCAGGCAGTGCCCTGCCACCAGCCGTGCCCCGCACAGCGCTCACGGCACCAAGGGCCTGGCTGTGCCGGGACGGTCCTGCTGCCACCCCGCCTGCTCGTCTGCGCAGTCAAAACAGCCCGTTTTCCTGCTCACAAAACACGTCCTGTTTTGGAAACTTAAATGCTCTCCCTGACCCGACAGTGAGGGAATGGGTCCCTGGGAGACGTGGGGGAAAAAGCCAACAGGAAACAAACAGGCCCTTTCCCTCGAGGAACGGAGCGGCCAGCGTGGGACTCCTGCTGCCGCAGCCGTGGCTCTGCCTACGCCCCCGCAGTTTCCTCCCCCCTCTCCAGACCTGCTCCATCCCGCTCCTGCGCCCCGGCTTACTTGGCGAAGTTGGCGAGGTTCTGGGTGACCTTGGCAATGAGGGTCAAAGTGCGTGCAGTGCGGTCATCCGGGTACTCCTGCAGGAGACTGAAGAGGGACGGGGACATGATGGCCGGGCAGAGGAACCGGAGGAACAGGGAGGCACTGATCAGTCGCTCACTGATGTCTGGGCGGCCTCGGTTGCTGCATTCTTGTCTCCATGAGGCAAAAACTTCTTTGAGCTCCCTTGGGAAGACACTGAAACGACAGAAGGACATGAAGGGATGGTAAGTTCAAGGCCAGGGTGTTCAACCTGCCACACAGCCTTCGCTAAACGTGGTACATGGCAGCTGCGGGACACGACACCCAGACCTGTACGACGCAGAGCCCTCCCACCCTGCTGACCCACAGCAGCACCGCTACCTACACCAGTCACAGGCTCTTGACCTTTTTTTTTTTTTTGCCGAGTGTCTATTAGGAGACTCAAACTGCAAAAGAAAAAGCAAAGCCACTCCGTAAAGCTGTCAGAGAAGCCGCTTTCATCAGACTAATGTTCCTGGTTGTGCCGGTACCAAAACCCCACACAAGTGGAAGGACAGAGATACGAAACAAACTGCAAAGCGGCTCATCACAAGCCGTGGCTGTGTCACGGGCCACTTCGAACTGGGGGGAAGCTCAGCCATCATGGTGGAAAGTGTCTCCTGAAGAAACACAGCATCGTGGGACCCCTTGGCAGAAACACCAGCAGCACCGGGGTCACTGGCACAGCTGGTGCTTGCGGGGAGGGCTGCACAAATTGTAATAACTCCTATTCAAGCACCTGGATCAAATCCCACCGTGACTAGTACAGATGCGGAGCCCCACCAGAGTTCCTCCAGCCTTGTAACTGCACAGAGCTCAGCCTGGCTTTCCCGGATACCAGCATTCCCCCGGGGACAGCCGACGCTGCAGCAGCCCTTATCGCCGCAGAACGCGCCGCCTGTTTCTGCTCGGCCCTCCCCAGCTCCCTGCTCCCACCTTATCCTGTTCCCAGCGTGTGTTATTTATTCAGCTGGATATTCCCACCCGCGGGAGCGGGCTGGCAGTGGGTCCCACCACATGCCCTTGGTCCCCTGGGTCCCCGGGACACAGCTCCCACCCGCCCTGGGGGCCGCCCCGGCCACCAACCTCCGTCTTTGTTTCAGAACCAGAACTGTTTACCGACAGAGCTCATGGTACAAAAGCAGACCGAAGAGGGGTCAGACTCCATTTTAGGAGTCTGTCCTCCATTTCTTTCCTGTGTTTCAAGTACATGGGCCAGACGTGTCCATCAAAGAGACCCGGTAGGTCAGGAACAGTGTAGTTACGCATACTTCTCCTCCTTTTGCATTCATCGTATGGAACTGCCATTTTAGGCCATAAATCTCCTTAACAAACAGCCATTTCAGAGGACGGTTTCCCAGTTTTGCTGCAGGGACTTTGCAAAGCAGTGTCAGTCAGCTTCTCCCCGGCCTGACCCCTCTCTGGGACCACCTGCCCCACGGCTGAACCTCCCGCGGGTCGGGGAGAAGAGAAAACCATGGGAGTTGCATGGCCAGAGACCCCATCCACTATCCAGCAGCAGCAAGAACCAGGTGGGAAACTCCGAAATGGAGGAGCATTGAGAGCGAAGTACCCCCGTGGCAGCACCGCCACACTCTGGACAAACACAAGGGCGCCC